GGAGAAGCTAATCCGCCCCTTCGTGACCACCATCACCGCCTGTTCCAAGCAAGCACGATCGAGTCAGCCGAAGACTTACAGAGAATTACTACGATAAAAAAAGTAGCTTATTAACATACGGTAATAATAAAATTCTTTTATTAATTTTGGGTTGTGGAAGAAGAGCACGAACAATTATATATATATATATATATATATATATATATATATATATATATATATATATATATATATATATATATATATATATATATGGGGATTTAAGGACGGTAATGTCATGTTGTTCTCCTTAATTATGCTTTATTGTAAGATAATGTAAGTTGCTGTGTAGAGAGATTACGAGCTTTGGCCGTGTATATCGATGTCGTTTGCAGAAGTCCGATGTGAGCAAATCCTCGTCAATCTTTCGTTGGATTCGGTACGAAATCTACTGGTGTTTGTTTGGTCTGGTCGAGCTGATATGACCAATTGGATTGGTCTGTGATTTTTGTACCCTTCAGTGCATCCATGGGTGATGTTGATGCCTTTGAGATCTCAGTGACATTTTGGATCTGTAGGAAGAGGTTGGTTGGATTCAGCAGCGTAACCGAGGTGGCATGTTAGAAAACCACCTGCAACATCCAAACACCAGAAACACATCTGTGAGGAGATCGAACAACATGAAGAAGACTAGCTGCCGAATGAATTGCTGTGATTGTTCCAAACCTTTTCATCTCCATGTATCAATCATGCTCTTCCCTAAGAGAGAACAGGCTGTTTAATTTCTTTCCCCGAGAGTTTGCAGCTCCACCAGGTCTGGTAGTACACTGTGGACTCTTTCCATGGATGTTAATGAAGGCATCTTACATGAACACTCTCACCAGCATCTTGTTTCAGAATGTCAATTGAGTTCTCTGATTGCCCAAAGAACTTTGTCATAATAATTGAAAGATCACCAACTATAGCTTATACAGAAGACATTTGGGTGCTCATTTGATTCAAGTTGAGGTGTTGCACTATCATTTAAGAGTTGTATCTGAAAATTCTTCTGATGGATGCTTTACTGTGTTTTTTCTGTAAACTGGATCTTTCACCATCAAGCCAAGGTGGAATGAAGGGGAATAATAGCATTGCCATGATCCAGCCACCAACTTATTGATTATGCCTGTAATAACCAAGGATGATGTGAATTCTGAATCAAGAAATAAACTTTTGGATCTATTAAATGGGAACAGCTAAGTCAGCAATATAAAAATAATCACAAAAATAAAGGCATGTATGCTTTAGGTTATTCAAGAAAGAAGCTTGAATAGGCTTAAGCCTTCTCATGAGACAGTATCAATTACCCAAAGCAGTAAATAGCAATTTACAGGTTTAATTTGGAATTGTGATATGGTCAATCATTGTCCTTTTACGACTGTTCTTCTGAAATTCTACTGCAACATTAGTAATCACATGACAAATGGTGGACCGACAACCACAGTAGACTCATCTGCAAACTGATATATGTCTTACAAAGACAACAAATTTAAAGTGCTATTTTCCATCTATATAATAAAAGTTTAACGAAGTTCATGATATAGCCTTTCAACAACATTAGTTAAGCTCAGGGTTGTAATATCTGAGAAAGGTTTTTGATGGTTGTCACCAAAGAAAAACTTTATTAGAAGAATAAAATGAGTAGTTTGGCTAGCGATATTGCTCTAAACTTGATAGTAGGAAAAGATCCAGGCTTGTTATTTAATTAGATCCTCACCAAAATTATAAGCTAGCAAGTATCTGAACTGCAACATTATAGATGTCAAATAATTACATTTGTCGCAAATTATAGTATTTTTCATAAGCTCCTTCTGCAAATCACTCTAGTTTAATGATGCTGATAAAGGTCGAGGTTAGCAGACACAATCTCGTAAGCATCGACAGTTCAGGTACTAACTGGATGTAAAATCCTAAAGATTCACATCGTAGCAATGAACATAATATATACAGAAAACTGAGATATCTGGACACCTCTAAGTAGCCCAAGTGCAACAAGATTTCAATTGGAATGCATGCAAATATTAGTCATGCTAAAAAAGGGCATGAATAAGGTTTTATTATCCAATTGGATACCAGTCACGGTGACATTCTATCTGGTGCTGTTTTTTTCTTCCAATTTAGGATAAAGGAGGGGGTGAATCCATTCTAGAAAATCACCTTCACAAGGATTCAAACCTCTCTCTCTCTCTCTCTCTCTCTCTCTCTCTCTCTCTCTCTCCCCACCAGAGTACTCCTATCACCTCTGCACCGCCACTCAAAAGACCTCTGCCGCTTCACTATTACTCACCTCACATGTATACAAGAACAACCAGCCAAGCGGTCTGGGATAGTGGCAATAGATGCCACTATCTCAGAAAGCTTTGCCCAATTGCAGGGTAGGGTAAGAATGTCTAAACCTTAAATGATTGCAACAAAATCTTGATCTATTCAGAATTGCCACTGGCCATCAACTATCCATAGAAGAAGGCACGGAACAATTATTCTTGGGCACAAACAGTTAAAGCAATGCAACCGGAAGCTTTTATTAAGACTGTTTCAGGAACTCACAATGTATCGTTGATCTGGAGAAAGAGATCTATCGGCAATTGTCCACCTCAAGCTTTTGGCACGGATGTTCTTCCCACTTTCCACTCATTATCAACATTGTATATTAGCACACGGCTTCCCTATCACATAACCGACAAACATGAAAAGTTAGACACATGAACAGATGCCATTTTGCAATGAATATATCGGTCAGTAATTCCAGCAAGCACCTGGAGTGCAACCACAAACGGTTAACCATCTCCGAGAACTGCGAAACATATGCCCGGCTATCCATTCTGTCCACAGGCCACGGGCTATCGACAGACAAGTACTGGTGAAGAACATGGGAGCAATCGGCGGGTCAGATAAAAGATCTCAATTTCCATACCGGAGCAAGCAGCATCACCAACACGCATAGTGTCGTTCTTGTCGGTATCCATGTCGGACGTGCCCATGCCATGACCCATCCTCGGATGGTCTTCTTCAGCCCATCTTAGTCAAGAATGCTCCTTTTTCATCTCAATCCCAACATTGACCTTCTTGATGATGATAAACCCCGGAGATAACACCAACAACCCAAAAACGACTTCAGTATTCAACGACGCATGACACAAAGAAACAACCTTTTGACAGGACTAGCTATCTCCCAACACTCAAGAAATGAAATGTCTCGGAATCCAAAAAATGCAACGCTTGTTCCAGAATCAATTCTACCTCTGGTGGTTCCACAGTCGTCTCTGAATGAGGTATCGGACCCGATCACGTCCGAGCGCAACGTGGAAGGTTGACCCGAACCGAATAAATTCTGCTAACGTGGAGTTGAGATCCCATCCCAAACTCGACGAAGTGATGCCGAAGTGGGTGCTCCCGAGAGAAAACTTGAAGGCTCTCAAACCACTCGTGATTAGAAGATTGGTTATGACATACTCGATGAAGATGGATACGACTGATCCCCAACACTTGAGATTATCCCAATCAACTTCATAAGATTTAAATTGTAGAGTTTTGGAGAGGAGGAGGAACCCTCGAATTGACCTAATCTAATCTGTTTTGGATGAGGAGAACATCTGGCACTCCCTTTCCTTTTGACTTTTTGGTTCTTGGTCTTTGACAACCACGTCAACAAAAGTACTCTCACTCCACGTGCTCCAATTTGCTGCTTACAATTGAAGCAATGAGCAGAGCAGGCTTCTGTTGCTGTTGTTGTTCTTGTTGTTCTTGTTGTTGGGACTTGCAGTAAACAGTGACACATAAAACTCTGAAAAGGACTGGTTATTGACTGGTAACGAGGAAATGTAGCCAGCATGGCTTACAGGGCTGCCCTGCCATTGGAAGCAGACAAAGGTTGTCCAGTCAAAAGGACAATAATAATTTGCCCTGCACCTAATTATATGACCTATATGTATGTATCATATCACACCAAGTACTGTGGATGGAATATGGACTGCGTGCATTAAACTACTACTCCTGCGAAGAATAGAGAGAGAGAGAGAGAGAGCCAACAAACAACCATTTGTCAAGGAAGAAGAAGGCATCAGAAGTCAAGCAACAGTGCCCACAGGTCCCAGTGGTGGCCATGTACTTGGAAACCAAGGCAAGAAATGGACCGAGGAAGATCCAAAACCCTCTCTCTTCTGATCAATGTTACATGCAAAGAAAGGAATCACAGGAGGGCATCTTTATACCAACACAAGATCCATGTTACATGCTGTATCCATCTTCCTGGACTTGACTCACTATACACCCTGGTGTCCGACAGATACCCCACTGAAGGCACCAGCAGAAGGAAGAAAGGCAAGTTACCTATAGAGTTAGCACCATCTTCCAACCTCGTGGAACTGGAATCAGGCATAGGAAGATGATAGAACAGCTCCTTCTTCTTCCTGCTGCACATGGACTATAAGTTAGAGGTAACAAAGTGCTTGATCTCCTCCATTACTTCGTAGAAATGGTCAGTATTGGGCAACAAATAGAAGCCGATGGTGGCCTGTTCCCGGTAGACGAGCTTCACATCTTTGCCGGCCGTCTTCAACCCGTCGGCATAGGCCAATTGCCAGTCCTGAACAAGATCCAAGCCTGCCACTATGACGAGGCTCTTTGTGAAAGGAAGCTCCTCGAGGGGGACGCCATTGGGACCGAAGGGGTTGCAAGCTGGGTGGTCCCTGTCGGCTCCCTCCGGGAGATACGCCTTCCAATACCAATCCCTGTCCTGGATCGTCACAAAATACTTACCATCCAATCTCTTCTCCGACTCCGTCCGGTGATTGCCGCCGAACATGGGGTTGAGAAGGATGTTCCCGGATACCTCGATCCCGGATTCTGCAGCCCTTACGGCTACGTGGTGCGCGATGTTGCCCCCGGAGCTGTCGCCGCAGAGGAACACCCGAAGTTTGGCGTCCTTGCCGCCGTGGAGCCATGGCTCGGTGGAAGCCCACTTGAGGGCCGCCCATCCGTCGTCGTAGGCGCAGGGGTACCGGTATTCAGGTGAGCGACGGTAGTCGACGGAGATAACCACTGCTCCGCACAGCGAGACAAAGCGCCGGCAGAGGGAGTCGTAGATGGCGGTGTTCGGGGAGGAGTGGGCGAAGCTGCCGCCATGGAAGAAGATGATTACGGGGAAGGGATCCGGGGAGGGAGGCCGGTGGAAGTCGGCGAGGGGC